CCGAGGACCTATCCACATCATCATTTACCCAGAATGCTTTGTGTGTAAATAAAATGGATCAGTCAGTGTAATATATTTTTAACATTTACAAAACGAATCAGCCTACAGTATTTTTCCAGACTATATTTTGCAGTTAAAATATCCATCCATTCATCCATCCATCCATCCATCCATTTAAACCTACATATTAAAAACAGAGGACAGTGAGTATATCTACCTTGAGTTTTTCCAAAAAATTGGTTCCTCCGAAGGCCCGTAGCAGTTTTGGTGTWGGTGGTTTGGGTCCGAACAGTGCCAGTCCTTTCTTCTTTTCCTCCTCCACTTTGGCTGCAGCYGGGCCTTTGGCCTTCATTAGTTTTCTACAAACAAAAATCAGCCAAATATTTCTAAAACTTTGAAAACTTTCTCAACTGGCACCCTCATCCAAGGTGAAACTGATCCTRGACTCACTTGCCCTTCCGAGCCAACACTTTCTGGGACTCTGGGTAGTGGACCAGAATGTCAAACAAGTCTTTCTTCTCCAGGACAAACAGGTTGGCAAAACCGTAGGCTTTAACATTCGCTGTCCGTCTGTTCCCACCGTCTTTAGACGACTGTAACAAACTAACAAACATTTTCTGTTTCAATATTTACAGACRTCTGGTTACATTTCAGGTTTTGAGCAGAATGTTAGTGTTTTGCACATTAACAAACACATTGTTTTTCCTTTCTGTGAACCGACCTACCTGATTTCTCCGAACACACAGCCGGCCTTCAGTGTCACGAACACGATGCTGTTGTCAGGTCCTCCCACCACCTGGACCGCTCCGCCCTTAATGATATACATCTCCTTGCCGATGTCTCCCTGCACAGGTACACAAGTATTTAGACAATGACAGGGTTCTGGGAGAAAATACCACCAGACTGGATGTTTGAAGTCTTTGATGTAAAATAAAACTTTCAGAAAAACAYCAAGCTCATCCACAGATCGGGGCTGGAACCATCGATCCAAACAGAATGGTCTAAAAGTTATTRCTGATTCTTTACACAACCTCATCATCACCAATAATAATAAAAAGAGCAGTATTGTTCCARTGGTATAAAGCAGACTCACCTTTTTCACAACAAAGTCCCCAGGCAGGTAAATGATGGACTTAAGCCTCAGYAACATATCCACCAACATCTGCTGGTCACAGCCCTGTGGAGGTGTAGAGATTTAACAAGCTGGTTTTCTGTAACATGGTGTCAACATGAGACCGGTATGTTTTTATACCACCTTAAAAAGATCAATCTTCTGAAACGTTGCCAGGTTGATGTCCACGGCAATGGCGGTCCTCATTACAAGAGGCATCTTATCCAGCAGCTCAGACTCATCTGAACATTCAGTAGAATTAATAAAATGACTCCAGAGCAACAAACGGAGGTAGCATGATGTATATTTTAGGAATATAAAGTCCTTYGTCYGGTAAATACTAACCCAGCATGCCCTGGGCGTCCCACGTGTAGGTGTACCAGGTGCGAACTCTGTTCTGAACCATGTGGGGAATGTGATTGGTCACCATGTAGGCCACTGTGTTGTCCATGGAGGTACGGAAGTAGGTCTGTCCCGCCGTGGCTGCTCCAATGACATCCCTCATCTGAGGCAACACAACAAAAAACGACAAAAACAGAGGAAAGCTTTCATTAACACAAATAATTTGATTTGTTTTTAGCTGTGGAAACCCTGTAGACAGGAAAGCTTCACAAGACACTGGACGCAAAGATGGGTAATGGGGTATCTTACGTTACGAGCAGATGGGTTCATGCGTTACCTGTCCAATCAGACTGGAGAACACAAAGACCCCAATGAAAAAGTTTGTCATCTGGAAGCTGATCTCGAAGACGGTGTGGGGTTCGCTAAGACCCCCGATGTTGATCAGACTGCGGACAGCAAARTAGTAGCAGCGCAGGTACCTGTGGAGAAGGTGACGGGAGCATTAAGCAACCTGAGTCAACAGTTTGGGCGGCTTCGGATTGCATTTCTGCCATTATTTAAAGATATGTTCCTGTTGGTCTTATAGAGCCAGGACTTTTATCAGGAACTTTAGAGGTCTGAGACCATGATCCTCAACCAGAAAGAATGGACCTGCTGGTTTGGGAAAGAGCCACTGCCTCGATTGGAGGAGTTCGAGTACTCAAGGTCTTCTGAGTGAGTTGGTGGGAATGGATGCAGGAGGTAGCAGAGTCTGAGCTCTCAGTTTAGTAAAAAATCCTCACTCCAAACCTCACCAACAGTTTCAAGCTGCTGATAATAACCAACAGAACACAACTGACTGATAAATTCAGCTATTCTGTAAAACCTTAAGGAGATAGTTTAGTCATCTATGCAGTACATTTAGGTTGATGAACACGTTGAACAAAGGAAATATTCCCATTAACAGCATCGACCAAAAATCCACATACTGTATTTTCAGGTTTTTACCAGATAAGGTGGAGCTAGACTTTTTTGCAACAGGTAGCAAAGGCGTTTTTTATACATACAAATAAAGAAATCTACTCAGATGTAAAAATATAAATTGGCCACACAGATCTAGTTGGTTCTAATTCAGCCATTTTAAGACTTRTTGGGCTGAAACTTGTGGTGTAGCTAAGAATGATCCAAGACACATTCCAATTGTTAATCCCAATTTAAGCTAACCGCTAATACTAATGCCCCCACAAAGAGCTATAATTCAGCTATGTTTAGACAAAAAAAATCCAAAACACTAATCAAAAAATCAAGTTGGCCACCACAGCTAACTTAAATGGTGATAATTCATTCATTTTAAGACTTACTGAGCTGAAATTTGTTTTGATGGGAGTTGTAATCACCAACACGTAGTGCAGTCAAATCACAAATCAAAATGGCAGCAACATGGTAATACCTGAGGAACTTTTCTAGATGTCATTGTTACAGACAGGCCACTAGATGTCACCCAATTTTCATCAACTGTTGCTTCAACCCAGAACCATCACACACAATTATTGATTTATTATAATTCAGTGGCTCTGGGAACTCCTTATGACACCAGAAAATACAGATGATTGACARATATCTACTCAGATTTTGCTCCAACTGTTCATCTTTTAATGCCACATGCAATCCCTACCTACTTGTCAGTCATGTGGCTCTGCCTGTTCATAAACAAAACCAGGTATTACCTCGATAGCAACACTTCAAGGAACTCCTTTTTAAACAAGCGGGCCGGTTCTGTAACAATTAATCAAACTGAAGCACAAAGTTAAAGTGTCTGCGACAACAAATTTCTGCAATAAATATTAATGTATTTTTGGAAAGATAACACAGATAATATATTGTAAGAAAAAAAAGATTTCACGTCGCTGAGATGAACAGTTGCTGAGATATTTGCATGTGAAGTAACAGGAAGTGATGTCAAAGGTGAATGTCTGAACAGAGCGATGCTAAAATGGCCAACAACCCAGACTGTAGAGAAGTATCTGATGTTTCTTTAGATTATTTTAATCACTATCATAGAGAGATGAGCAAGAGTCAGAGTTCAAATAATATTGTTTCAACAAACAAAAACCAGCGAGTTTTCTTCCTCTAAGAGTTCCCCTTYGATGTCACTTCCTGTTTCACTTTAGCTGAGCCAAATTCAAAAGAAAATATACCAATTATGTGACATAAAGGATAAAATAGTGTGCATTATGCCAAGTTTCTTCAATATAAATATTTACTTTGACTATTTGTATTTCATGAATATGTATGTTACAGGCTCTTTAAAGGCAGTAAAACAGAGGTGTTGTACTTACGCACTGCCCTGGCCCGAGTAGACCCACTTGGTCTTCCCGATGCCCTGATATTCTGATGCCACATAGTAAAARCAGGCGTTGAGGTGGAGCATGAAGAGGAGGTAACCGATGGTTCGAATCACTCTAAGAAAGACGCAATATAATCAGGTTAGACAGCGTCATACTGTAGAGACGCTTCTCATTGGTAGGAACAGGGCGTTTATAAAAGATAGAACTAAATATAAACATATTATTATGATAAATTTTGTTGCATTTTCCAGAGATTAGTGACTGAAACTACACACAATGTTTGTAAAAATACTGTCACAGCTGCTGAAGTCATCTTCCAGCACCCACCTCCAGATGTACGCCTTGGCCAAGATGCTCTCCAAACGATCACTGAACTCAAAAAATGTGTCTACCTGAAGAAGTAAAGCCTCTTTAGAGACAAAACAAACATCTGGATTATGTTTTAGTTGTCTCAACAACAGAGTTTTACCTTCAGAATCCGATTGAGCCTGAAAAGGGATTTGAACCCAAACTGCAGGTATAGCAAGTCTAACGGTAGAACCGACACTATGTCCAACTGTTGGAGGAAGAAAACGAAGTGAGGTCTTCATCACGGGTTCAAACTTTGCTTTAAAGATCTGTGAACGAAATCAAAATACCACAAATCTCTCAGATGCTCTGTAGTGTTTTGTTGTCATTCCACGGTCTTTCTGAAAGAAAAAATAAATAAAAGCAACTGGTCATAATTCATATTTCATACTTGACTGGACCAATTTTCATCTTGTCGGGMTTTACTCCATTTCTGTTCCAAACCACAGCATGAAAAAAAAAAACAGTTTAAACTCTGCGAGCCTTGCTRCTCTTTTACTTGGTCTCCTGGACACATAAAACATCTACCGTCCTTCCCTGCATCACATCACCTCTCTACCTTTACCTCTACCCYACATTTAGAGTTGTTTCAGTCCTAAACKCTTGATTTTCTTCCTCYACTTCTGGTTCCTGGCACAATTYATGTAARCAGCACCAGTGGCAGTGGTACGATGTTGTTTTGACCTTTGTTTTTGGCACACCACAATCTGTGTCCTCATTCATCCATTCACACAGCACTCTACCTGATCTCCTACAAAGCTAACATGAACAATCATCTATGGAGACTAATCAGTGCCAATCACATTCATACACTGATGGGACACACATCAGAGGCATTGGGGTTAAGTGTCTTGCCMAAGGACACAACAACTGWGACAGCTGGACGGGGGATCRAACCRGCGACCTTCCGGTTCCAGGACGACTCCCCTAATCACTCTGCCACAGCGGCCCCCACAAAAGTGTTTACCCTCACCATTTACCCAGGCTTTGAACCGACACTGACTTGTGCTCCTTAGTGCTGTTTTTYATTGCCCACCTGCACAAATCAAACCTGCCTCAACTTTCTTTGTACTCCCTTTGGTAATCTACCCCACGTTTATAGTTCGATGTAATGGAGGACGTTTATATATACTTATAAATAACAGTAGACAGCTTTGGACCAGTCTTTTGATGAGTAGTATCTAGCATAGTCCTGGTTTCTAGAGCCACAAGTGGAGGAGTTCAAGTATCTGAGTGTCACGAGTGATGGTAGGATGGAGCAGGAGATGCATCAACAGATCGGGGCATCATCTTCAGTAAWGAAGGCATTGCTTCAATCRGTTGTGGTGAAGACGGTTTAGTCGAAAGGCAAAGCTCTGTTTAATGGTCTGTCTTCTTTCCAACCCTCACCTGTGGTCAYGAGGCGTGGATCATGACCRAAAGAACCAGATCCTGGATACAAGTGGCCGAAATGAGCTTCCTTCGTAGGGTGGCTGGATTCAGAGAGCTGCTCCTCCGCATCGAAAGGAGTCAGTTGAGGTGGTTCATCTGATCAGGAGCCTCCTGGACGCCTCAGTTTAGAGGCGTTCAGTGTACGTCCCACTAGTAGGGGGCCCCAGAGAAGACCCAGGACTCACTGGAGAGGGAGGACTGGGTTTCTCCCCTGGACCTGTTGCCTCTGCGACCCAACTATAGATAAGTGGTAGAAGATAGATTTGGTTTCTAGACATGTTTTCTGGGGGGAGGCATCTAAATACAACCCAAGTGCTYACCAGGATCCCATGACAGATCTAGGAGGGGTTTCCGGTTCTTGCAAAGAAACTCAGACACCCCCAAGAAGGTCAGAAGACTTCTAGAGATTTCCTTGCCAACTCTTGCCACCCAGTGATCCTTTAGAAAGTTTAGAGCAACCCTTTAATGTTAGATAAGAACCCAGGATTTACGGGTACAAAATGGTAACTATGAAACAGCACCTAAATCCAAGACARGGGTACAAAATAGCAAAAATCATAAACTCACTATGATGTCTCCTCCTTTGACGAACTGCTTGCGAGGCTGAAACATGATGGAGTCCATCAGGTAGACCAGATCTGCCAGGATGTCCAAGCCGAACCAGATTGGGACGGAGGTCTCGGTGTGGTACGGGAAGCACATCCGGGCCGTGACGAACCACATGTTGTAGTTGAAGGCCACCGTCACCAAACTCAGCCAGGCGATGTAGCGACGATCCGTGAAGGGGTCGATGGTGGGCCCCAGCATGGAATCCATGGGGACCTCGATGGGCTTCAACATCAGGTCCACCACAGACCACCAGGCTGCGATCATCCTGGCCTTGACGGGAACCTTCACTTTCTTTTCCTCCTCTTTCCGTTTCTCCTCCTCCTCCTTCTTCTTCTGCTCGGCTTCCTTCTTCTTCTTCTCCTGCTCTTCTTTTCTCTTCTTGTCTGCCTCCTCCTTTTTGATCCGGTTCTCCTCGGCCTGCCGAGCTCGCTCTTCTATCACCTGTGCGTATTCGTCTTTGGGGAGCAACGGAGCTGAAAGGAAAATATTAAGAAGTTCTTCTTTTTGCCATCGGCCTCAATGAAAAGATGAAGGGTGTTGTTGGTACTCACTGACAGGAGGGGTGATCTCAGGCGATGAGGCGTGCTGGTCCACCACCTTCTCCTTGTACAGGACGAGGCGCTCTTTCATTCGTTTGGCGCAGAGTCTGAGCTGCTGGTCGGCGTATGTGTTGATCACTATCGGTGGAGGAGGAGCATCGTCCTGCCTAAAGATCAAAAACACTTCCAGTCAACTGTTTTATTAACAATATTGTGATTTTTTTGACAGTAGGAAGAGAATAAAGATTATCAATAATTTGTCACACTTAAGGAAATTCTTGATTTTTTTCTTTTTCTGTGTTATAATTACTCTCATGGTTTGTTATTCACAGTAAAATGTTTTGAAAAGAGACAGTTTGCCTGAATGTGAATAGATGTTCATGTTTCGCCCTCTAGTGGGGACCCTTCAGTACTACATGTGACACAAGAACTCATTAAACACTACACTTCACAAAGTTGAAGTAAATGTTGAACACTGATTCTGTCTGTGGAAGATCCTGAAAGATGTCAGATGTTCAAACATGAAGCTGAGGCCGTTTTTTGACAGAAATAAGTTGCAGAGAAAACAGGATGACTCATTATGACGCTTTTTATTTTACCCTAAAACTACCTCTGTACGTACCTTATATGCTACCGGGGTACATATCCCRTAACTATCAGGGTATGTACCTTATACCACGAGTATGTAACAACCCAGATACAATCTAAGTAATTATCTGGGTATGTAAACTGTAACTAACAGGATACATCTACTAGGATATGGGATATTTACTCAGTACCCTGTAACTAACCAGGTAAAATCTATTTAACTACTTGGGTTACATACATAGTTAATACTTATGTATCCTTTAATTACATGGGTATGTGTCCTGTAATTACTYTGATACATACCCTGTAAATAACTGGGTATGTAATTTATAATATTAGTGTGTATCTGGTAACAACCAAGGTAARTTCCTGGTAAATACACGGGTACAAMYCGGTTACTAMCGGGATACACAACCTGTAACTACCTGGGTAAAAATACTTTGACTACATGAAAATGTATTTAGTTAATACCCTGTTATAAGTACCGTTTAACTACTCAGGCATGTACCCTTTAACTAGCAGGGGAAAAATCATTTTAATACATTAAAAGTACCCTGTTCATAGCTGGGTACGTACTCTGTAACTATGTGGGTAAAAGCCCTTTAACTACATGAAAACATACGCAGGTAATACTTGTGTACATGTCCTGTAATGAACAGGGTACACTCCCTGTAGTTACCTGGGTACGTACTTTGTAACAACACAGGTACATACTTTGTACTGTCAGGTATGTGCCATGTGAGTACAGGTCATGAATCATTTTCAGCACATCTGATGTTAGAGTGGAGAGGATTAGCCGTTAGCTGTTAGCTGTTAGCTGTTGCCTCCACGTCTGTGCGAGCTGAGCCCTGATGAGCTCCTCATGCAGAAAGAGCTGAGAAGCTTTTAATCCACTTTCAGGTCAGTCCTCAGTTAATCACGTCGCAGCAGGAGATAAAGATCTGCAGCTCCACAGCTTTCTGTCTGCTTAATGAGGGCAGCTGCTGATTCTTTACAAACAGGTTTGTGGATCTCTGTGTGGAAAATGTAGTTTGTTTGATGATGATGATGATGATGATGATGATGATGATGATGATGATGAGACTGTTGTTTTATTCTAAACATATTGAAACAGTTTGCAAATCTCATAAACTCATTTTGTTTAGAACACTGTAAACATCAAACATTTTAACTCAGTCTCTGTGTGTGTTAGCTGCTGAAAACAGAGACACTAATGCAGCCCCATAGCATCAGCGAGGCAGGCTTCTGAACTGATAACAGACCAAACAGTTCTAATTATTCCTGTATGTTTAGATTGATTTGATTAAAGAGTGCTGAGGCCCCGTCTGACTGATTCAGCCTCTAAACAAGTCGTGAAGCTGCGTTTCTCAACTTTAAAACTTTTATTAGTTTTTAACATTTGATGTGTTTCCGTTGTTTTATCGTGAATAAAATATGTGTTTTTTGAGATTTTTAAATCACTGACTTCTGTTTTCATGTAATTTTCCCAAACTGGAGTCGCAGTTAAAAACTGGGTGCAGGTCTTACCCCTCAGGTCTAGGCTGGTCTGGGTTTGCAGGTGGAGCTGCCGGGGCCGGGGTCGGTGCAGGAG